AAGGATTTTTGGAATAAATAGGATTTGAGTGCAGCTGTAGTTAATTTCCCTTTCTTTGTCCTGGGTAGATATTCTCCCCCATCCCTCTCGCTCATATAAAAAGAAAGTTATAATTTTCTATGAAACCTAAAAAAGAATTTTGCGTCGAGCTGAATTCTTGGGTCCCAGAAGCTCCGATCTGACCAATTCCAGGTTTCCACACTTAAGTAGTGGCAGCACAATGTTGTTGTGGCCCGCCAGCAGCCAGTGGGGGTGGCAGCAGTTTCAGACAGTGAGGAGGTTGGGGAGGAACCTGGGCCAGTCCTGGAGTTTGGGGAAGGCTCTGATGAGGGCTCTGTGTTGGAGGCAGAGGGGAGGGGGCAGGGCCGGTTGCCAGTTATCAGCTGCCTTCAGTCAGACATCAGTGAGGCAGTCAAACAGCTGGAGTCTGTTCCCAGTGTGTGCATGCGCAGAGTTGCCAGACGAAGGGAACAGCTAAAGAACAGGGGTTGACTTGGGAGTAANATAATGGATGAAAACTGAGATTCAACCTAGAAATAAGGAGGAATTTTCTGACAGTGAGAACAATCAACCAATGGAACAACCATGCCCTTGGAAGTTGTGGAAGCTTCATCACTTGAGACTTTCAAGAAGAGATTGGACTGCCATTTGTCGGAAATGGTGAAGGGTCTCCTGCTTGAGTGGGGAGTTGGACTAGATGACCTATAATGTCCCTTCCATCTCTGTTAATCTGTCTTCTCATATTTCTACACCAATGAGAGCATTGTTTGGCCATGGATACATAAGGGCAATAGAGACATTAGGATTTACTGGAAGTTATCAGTGCCATTCAGACCATCACTGTAATAGGAGTATTAGATCAATAAATATTGGCTGGTACTTCTGCCAAGCTACATCCCCTGCCTTGGAAAATGCATTTATGGGAGACACTGAGCACAATACCAACTCTGCAAATTAACGGAGAAACATTAGCAGTATTTTGCTGTAGTATTGACTTTAGACTACCTGAATTTAGATATTATCTGTGACTGTGCTACCTCTTCACACGTATAAGGCACATCAAGTGTTTTGTTTCCTTATTTGCATTCCATGCTGCCCCAAATTATAAAGATTATACTCGCATCTCCAATATGAAGCTGTACTTGTTCACAAGGGCTCTTTATAATCACCGCTATGAGCTTTTAATTATTCCATGAAACTTCCTGTAAAATGTTTGCCATATATTTTGACATTCAAATCTAGTAGCATTACTAGATGCCTCTTTGTTGCCACTATTCCATTTCTATAAGTAGTAACCTTAGAGTTTGAAGGTTTCCAGGTTGTTTTCTAATTAAGAGTAGTTACTGCAACACAGTCATCATTTAGAACAGAAGGAAGTAGAGTAACGAAGTGCCGGTGTTACCCTTATTATCAGCATCTCTATCCATTATACGAACTCTAGAATGAAGTCTGTGACTATTTTTCGATCATAAAGAAATTGTCAAAATACGGAATCTCCACTATGAGGGGCAGGGAAAACTTGTCTGTGTCCTAAAAGGAAGAAATATTGTTTTTCACTGATATAAACCATGAGGCACATGTTAATGAAGAAAAATGATACAGTATATTGACTAGCTCGGTACAGAATACACACACCAACGAACCTGGACTAATAGAAAAAAATGTACATTGGGAACAGGCCCACATCATGCCTTCAAAAGAACAGATCCGCGAATCAGTGGTGTTTAACGATCCCATCTTTATCACTGTCACTAAGAAGAAAGGCCGCTACTAAAGCAGAGCATCTAAAGATAAAGATTGGGGAAGAAGAAGGAACGGGAGCCTTACAGAAATGATCGTGCCACTTACAGATTCATACTGTGTAAGATAGATGCTGGCAAGAAAATAAGAACTTGCCGTAGAATCATATGGGTTTTCTGAAAAATAATTTTTCAAATGAAAGCAGAGCCGATGAGCCGCACTGAGAAGTAAATTCAGCTAATTTATTTAGAACCAGAGAGACACCTTGTGGCCATCGGAATGTAATGAAGATCTTCCGAACAAATTGCAGAAACGTATCGTATTTGCTGTTTCCCTTTGGCATATTTAAGCATAGATGTAGATGCAAAATGTTTACTCTTATCCTTTTATGTAGCTAAGAATTTTACAAAAAAAAGTTTTAGTTTTGTTCAAAATGTTGGCATTTTAGGCATATATACCTGATAGAAGCAGAGACTAAGAATATTTTGAGAAGATTCAAGAATGAACCCAATAAGGGAATAGAATTGATGACTGGATATAAAAAGAGAGTCACTGGCTCACTGCTGGAGGCCATCCAGGCTGAAAATGAAGCGGGGGGGGGAACGTGCGCAGATCCCCCCCCCCCCGGCCCGGTGCAGACTCCTCTGGCCTGCATTATGGCTGCCAGAGGCACCACAGAGCAGTCCTATTTCCAGGCTGGCCCCGCAGGCCAGATTTAAGCATCCTGCAAGCTGGATCCAGCCCACGAGCCTTGAGTTTGACACCCTTGTTCTACTACATGCTATCCTCCAGATGTCATGGGTCCAACATGGTTGGGAAGTCAAGGAGTTGCAATACCCACACATCTGGAGGGGACATATGGAGAAGGCTTATCTAAACTAGTGTCTTATCATTATATCTTGTGTCAACAAATTCCTGCCTGTCCTGAATTCTCCATCAGTGCATTTTACTAGGAGTCAGGTCGTCATGTGAAGAAATTGGAAAGGAGTCCCTTTACCCACTTTCTTCGAGTCCTCTCTCTTAGCCATTTATCCTTGCTAATTTTATAGACTTTTTACTATGTTGTTCCAACTTCTTGGGCATCTTAGTTAACACATTTTGTTATTCAAAATCAGCTTTCTCCAATAGCTTGATGTGTTTATGGATTCTAAATCAACCTTCCCAAATAACTTGATGTGTTTATAACAACAATAAAAGAGGGGGGGGGATTTGTTAAAATATTCATGACTGGGAGAGACATGGGAACAAGGTCAGTCAATGAATAGGATAGCAACTAAGTCAGCCAATAGGAGCTTAAACAGACAGTCTGTGCAGAGAATTGTAACAGAAACTTAAGCAGTCTACTGCTCTGAGAAGTAAACTAGCTGTCTGTCTAGGCTTGTCTGCTGAAATGAAACTAACTGCTTACGTTTGCCTGTAACTCTCCTGCCTTGTGTTTACTTGGAAGAACCATCTGTTGGTATTGTACATTTATTCATCTATTCTTATGTATATAAAGTTAATGAATCCACCTGAATCAGTTATCTGTGTGTGCTTCTGGATTTGAATGTATGCAACAAACTCTGACAGATAGCTGTATGTAGAAGACACCAAGTTATGGAAAGCTGAAGCAGCTAATTATGGAAAATGAGATATTCTTTTACATAAGCTAGAGAGTATCATATATTTGCTTAGTATTGGTCTCTTATGGAAGCATTGGGATTTGCCATTAAGTCGGAATATTCCCAGAAGGAACTCACATTTATTGTGTCTGGTTCATCTTTTCATGTTCTCTTATGCTAAAGAAAACAGTTCTAGAAACTCATGCTGAGGTTTAGAAATGATACACCGCAGAGACAATTTAACAATGATATTCACAGCAGTTAAAATTTAATATGTCGTTTCATTTTATCTGCCCAAAGTCAAAACAATTGTACATTTGTTTTTGCAGAGAAAATTCCTCTTCACTTCAGGCAGAATTTAAAAAGACAATCAACGTAAAGCACAGATAGATGGTTTAAATGGATCCCAATATCTCCAATGGAGCTTTAAAAATATTCCAATGTGGATCTCCGTAGACATAAATACTGGCATGTAACGAACTACAATTGGGGTCTGTTTGATGACATCGTAATGTAGTTCGTTACATGCCAGTATTTATGTCTACGGAGATCCTCAGCTATCCAGGTTATGATTGTCCCAAAGGTGCTTTTTCAAAATGTAACTGGACTTTCTTTATCTCTAACAAAGAGACAAAGTACTTTGAAAAAGTACCTTTGGGATGCCAGTATTGCGTTATGTCAGTTCCTAATGTAGTTTCTGCACCTGATGGTAGTACAAGAAGCAATGGGTGGAAACTAATCAAGGAGAGAAGCAACATAGAACTAAAGAGAAATTTCCTGACAGTTAGAACAATTAACCAATGGAAGAACTTGCCTCCAGACGTTGTGAATGCTCCAACATTGGAAGTTTTTAAGATGTTGGATATCTATTTATCTGAAGTGTTGTAGGGATTCCTGTCTAAGTAGGGGGCTGGACTAGAAGACCTCCAAGTTCCCTTCCAACTCTGTTATTCTATTCTATTACAAAAAAGATGTTGAGATTTGGAAAAAGTGCAGAGAAGAATAAAGGCCTAGAGACTAAAACATATGAAGAACAGTTGCAGGATTTGGATTTAGCTAGTTAGAGAAAAGAAGGACTAGGGGTGAAATGATAGCAGTGTTCTAGTATTTGAGGGGCTTCCACAAAGAAGAGGGGGCCAACCTATTTTCCAAAGCCATGAAGGCAAGACAAGAAACAATGGATGGAAACTAATCAAGAAACAACCTGGAATTAAGGAGAAATTTCCTAACAGTGAGAACAATCTACCCAATGGAATGCCTTGCCTTCAAAAGTTGTGGGTGCTTCATCAGTGGAGGTTTTAAAAAAGAGAGTGGATAGCCACTTGTTTGAAATGGTATAGGGTCTCCTGCTTGAATAGGGGTTGGGCCAGAAGACCTCCAAGGTCCCTTCCATCTCTATTCTGAAACTTCTAAAATCAGGACATCACATATTCTTAGATGGAAAATGGATAGACATGCAGTCGTGGCACTGGAGCAAAACAGCTCAAGACAAGCATATTTTTAATATTTTTTTCTCATTGTGCAAAATAAATAGTAATCAACTATTTCAAAATAAAAAAATAACATGACACAATCAGATCTATAAAACCAAAAGGAGTTTAAAAAAACAAAAGACACGCAGAAATAAACCAAGCCCGCATCAGCAGATCCTTTGCTTACCATGGCAGTTCTGGATTTAATGAACCAATCAAATCTGAACTGGGGTGCGTTGCGCACACACTGTCGTAGCTCTTCATACACGTTTTCTTTATCAAATCCCATTTTATGCAACATGCATATCAAGAACCGATCTTCTTCTTCTGTGTAATTTTTGCCTTTGTTGGTTCCGTACTGAATTCGCAGCTGATGGAAAGGGGCTTTATACCTTGCAATCTAAAAGTGTTAAAAATGTTATATAAACATATATATATATATATAAACATATATGCATGTATCAGATTTCTTCTGCTAGGCATTTCTGTCAGCATCTCATTCAATAGCTATGCACTCTTATTTCAAGGGCAGGAAATTCACTGTAATTACAGCAAGGTCAAAACAAACAAATCATTTCCGCTCAAAATGTATTTGGTAGTTCTAAGGTCTTAATACTGGTGATGTAACACCAGAAAAGTGTTATGCTTATATTGGGACAAATTATCCTGTTTGGGAGACATTGTATGAAATAGGCTGTCTGGAAATGGCTCTAATGATGGGAAAGTGGGAGAAAAAAGAAGAGTCACTTGTATCAAAGAAAGGAAAAGCTGAAGGTTCGTTCTCCGAGTTTGTGGGTTGGTTCCCGAACTTTTCATCGCCAGGATAGGTAGCATCTTCAGCAGAAATTTAGGGGATGTTAGTGTTCTTTTGTTTATAAGTGCTTCAGGTGTGAGTGTGTCAAGTGGTGGGTCTAGTGATGGGGAGGTTACAAGGGTGGGGGTCTCTGGGAGGTGAATTGCTGGGGGGGGGCTTGCATGAGTTGGTTGTGGGTCGGTACTGTCTCTGGTTAGCTGTGTGGTTGACTTCTGAAGGGTTTGTAGGCTGCTACAACTAGCATACAAACTATTCAGAATCCAAATCAACCACACAGCTAACCAGAGACAGCACCGACCCTCAATCAACTCCCGCAAGCTCCCTCCCACCAGCAGTTCAATGACCCTAACGTGATGTAACCTCCCCCCCAAGACTCCCACTTGACACACCCATACCTGGCCCATCACAAGACTCTCAGTTGACACACACATACCTGAAGCCCTTATAAGCAGAAGAACACTAATTGTCAGGGTTCCGGTGCCCTAATTAATCTGAGCCTCAAGCCAAGTTTTAAAGGAAATCCAGTAATTTATAGGAGCAACATGTCAGCCGTTCCTGAGTTAGCTCTGCTCCCACATGATTTACGGCCCAACCATACCCCCGTTTCCCCCTCCTCTCAGGGTACATCATAAGTCACATTCTCTAACAGCCTTTCCCAGGCTGTAGAAACCCTGCCTCTCCAGCTGGCTCTGGTGCCCTGGGATACAATATGGAGAAAGGTATGCGTGGAATGTGTTTCTGGTCGTGGCAACTCCCCTCTCCTGCCTATGGCAACTCGAGAGCAGGCCAGGAGTGCTTTGCGAGTTGACACCAACATCCCCTAAACTCCACTGGAGATGTTATCTAGCCTGGTCACAAAACATTCAGAAACCAACCCTCAAGCTTGGGAGAATGAACCTTCACCCTCATCCTACACCCGAGATAGAGATAGTCACCATTATTGCAAAGAAACGAAAGGCTCAGTGGGAGTTGGGTACTGTACAATTTAAACAATAAGAAGAAGGACGGACTCAGTTACAGTGGCTGCACTACTGGAAGACTTGAAACAACAGAGTAAGGACAGATTGCTGAAGAGAAAAAATATCTATGTGGTTGCTAAATGTCTAACACAAACTTGTTGTAAATTAATATATTGGGGGCATTTCAATTCTTACAACTGTATAAACACATATCAACAGAAATAATAAATTTGCCTACTTCTGAATTGGTTATGGAAGTTTTGAAATGAAAAATTAGGAAAGGACAGGGAATAATTTTTTTCAGCGGGGAGGAGGGAGAATCACCACCTGCTGGTTTTTGAAGGACAAGATTAATTAGGAGAATATCAATGGACAGATTTACTTTGACATCCAGTGCTTTTTTGATGCTAATCCTCCTCTGTATTCTGGCTTCTCCTCTTTCAATCTGAGCCATGATCCTCTCAATGTCCTGGAGTTCATTGCAACGTTCCCAAAATACAGCTGAAATTACAATAATAATAATAGTAATCACCATCATCATCTTACATGTTCCATAATAAAAGGAATATTACTTCAAAGCAATTAAAGCAGAGTCCCATAAGCTGAGCTAAACACAATTACAGCATCTCTATAGTGAGAACGTTTTAAATATTCTGAAAACTTACCAAGTTACATTTTAAGCCATAAACCTTTTTTTTATGACAATGTCTTCAGATCTTTCAGTAATTCAAAACAAGGAAAAAAATACGCATCTGACTGAATTTGTATAAGTAGATGAAGCCATCCAAATTTCCTATATATTTTTTCCAGACATTTCTTTCAAAGAGGGCATTGGAAGTTGGAGGGAAAATGCAACTTTAAAATAAGCAATTAAGCTTAAAGCCAATTAGGCATTATTCAAGGGAGGGTGGAAGAGGGACAGAAAAAAAAGGTACAGGCTAAAGCCAAGAGGCCTTTCTGTCTGCTACAAGATGCAGTTTCTTGCATTTCAAGTTGACTCTATGCAGCGAAAACATAAACCGTGCCCATCTGGTCTAGTTGTCTATTCTCACAGTGGCCAAATAACTGCACAAGGAGCCCATTAGTCTCCCCGCAGACAATCTTCAGAGGCAGATCCAGTGCCATCAAGGCAAACAGCCAGTGAGCTCCATGAATGCCCCTGAATCGATAGAATCCTTTTTTTTTTAAGCCGGCCAAGCTGACAGCCAGCCCTATATTTTAATGAATAGTGAAATCCAAAGGTAAATCAGGCATTGCGTAAAAATATGTCCCAATTTTTCCAGTATTCAGTTTTATGGGGTGAATCTGCTACTTTGCTTCCCCAAAAATAAGACCCAACTGGAAAATAAGCCCTAGCATGATTTTTCAGGATGCTGGTAATAAAAACCCTACCCCCAAAATAAGCCCATGTTAAGATTGTCAGCCAGATTGATGCATTTAGTACTGTATTTACCCCCAAAATAAGACCTAACAAGAAAATAAGCCCTAATATCATGATGGTGAACCTATGGCACGCGTGCCCGAAGTAGCACACAGAGCTATGTCTCTTGGCATGTGCAGCGTTGCCCATTTCTCTTCTGGGTTTCTGCCCCACATGCACACACGACAACGATCAACTGGCCTTCGTACATGCGGCAGCGCCAGAAACTGGAAGAGCTGGTATTCCGTTTTCTGGCATTAGCCTGAGCACCAGTAACCGGAAGTCTAGCTGGCTGCCGCAGATGCGTGCACTGGAAACCAGACATTCATTTTCTGGTGCATGCATGCTCTCTGGGCAGCTCCTCTTCTGGCTTTGCATCCCTATGAGCGCACATGCATGCTCTCTTTTCGGCACTCAGTGCCGAAAAGGTTTCATCATCACTGCCCCAATGCATCTTTTGGAGCAAAAATTAATATACCGTATTTTTGGGAGTATAAGACACACCCATTTGCTTCAAAAAAGAGGCTGAAAATCTGGATGCGTCTTATACACCGAATACAGCATTTTTTGCCTCCCAAAACCCCATCCTCTTCACCAAAATGGCATAGCCATGAAAGCTTCAGAGAGCTCCTGGGGGCTGCAGAAGGCAGAAATGAGTGAAAAACAGGCTGTTTTTTGCTCAATTTTGCCCCACCTAGCCCCCAGGAGTACTCTATAAGCCTCCTAACGGCTATGAGTGCTATTTTTTTTGACAACAAACAGACCTGTTTTCATTAAAAATGGGCCATTTTTTGCTCATTCGGCGAGGGGGGGGGGGCGCACCTCCCTGGAGCACTCTGCAAGCCCCCTAAAAGCTATCTATGCCTTTTTGGGGGGGAAATGGTCCCATTTTCATAAAAAACGGGCCATTTGGGGGAGGTTTGCAGAGTGCAAAAAAATGTTTTAAAATTTGCCTCCTCAAAACCTTGGTGCGTCTTATACTCCAGTGCATCTTATAGTCTGAAAAATATGGTAAGACCCAGTCTTATTTTCGGAGAAACACGGTAGTTCCTCCAAATGTCTCATGGAGCACTGTAACATCTTTTTGAGTTTTTGCTGTGGCTGTCGAACAACTGCAAATGGAACATTTCAAAAAGTGCCATCAAAGCAACTTGTACAAAAGACAGAATTTTATCCATTTTCATATTAATACCACTTTATAATGCCTTGGTAAGGCCACACTTGGAATACTGCATTGAGTTTTGGTTGACACGATGTAAAAAAGATGTGGAGACTGTAGAAAGAGTGCAGAGAAGAGCAACAAAGANTTGAGCCACTGAGAATCGAACTGCCAAACACTTTCTATTATTCTACTATGCATTTTCAATTGTGGGAAAATGGGAGGGGGGATTATACGGAGTTAGATGATATGTAGCCATAACAAAATTCTTTCTAGAAAGCCAAGATCATCCTTTGTCTTTGCTCCTTTGCACCTGACCGGAACTGGATGGGTGGAAGCTAGCAGCATGGCAGTGGATGATTGGACCATGATGGACTTGTGGATGTGGGAGCAAAGTCTTGAGCTTTCAACTGGGTGGGAAAACCGGGACACCTCCGATTCAGGTTTTCCCAGATGAGCCAACATGGCTCTCTTAATAAATTGGAACTTTGAGCAATACATTGCCTTGGATTCTGATTTCATTTTGGATGCTATTTGGAACCCTGGCAATTCTAACCACTGCATCACCAGAGCTCTTGATTTTGAAAGAGTTCTCTAAATTGGGCAGCATAGCCATACTTCTTAAAACTATGCACTGGACATAGAAATTCCTTGACCCAGGCCTTGGTAAGAGATAAAGAGCTCCTCACTTCTCCTGTGATATGGGTACCATAAAAACTACAGCTCATGTATTGCCAGTTCTGCAGGAGTATTTGCCACCAGTTGATTGCTCTTTATTTATACTCTGATAATTTTTATCTGCAGAACTATTAAGTGATCAAGATAAATTCATTTCTTATTATGTGTAAGCTTCGGCTACAAATGGTTGCCAATAGTTCTTGTTAGAGGATAGTTTTGTGCTGCTTGTTTTATTCAATGCATTTTTATTGGCCAATGACCAAAATAAATAAAGTTTCTGTCTGTCTGACCCCTCACTTCATCCCTTTTGCCATCTTTTATCCTTCCGTTTTATTGATTTTACTGTAATTTGATTGTTATGAGCCACCCAGCCTTATTGAATCGGGCAGGCTGCAAGTGAAAGGAATGATTATTTATTACTATATGTAGAACAATATGAAGGCCCGCCTGTCAGTTCTTTAGCTGGTGTGAGCCTTCGTATACATGAAATTCTTTTCAAGTACTGTACCTATGTAGTGTATGTGAGGATCCAACCAGGATCCATTTGTAATTGACAGATGGAAAGGTTGTCAAAAAAAATATTTTGAAAAGTATTTTTAGTTGACCATTTCATACACCTGACAACCAGGAAGGGAGAAGATGAGTTGGTCCAATTAACAGCAGCAGTGTTTTCTCCACTGAGACATCCCTTCCTAAGCCTTACAACCACACAATAAAATTTCCTGTACTCTCTGCTAATCAACCCTTTTATATAGAGAAACAGCTTGTGTTATTTAAAATACGTCTAAAATTTGGGTACGTGAGCGCTATAAACACCGCTTGTGATTTTAACACCGAACACATCAATCTCATTATAAATCTTTTTTTGGCTTGGAATACGGTCTCAATATGCTTAATTATGGTAGCAAATAATATTTCACTGAAGTGATGCTCTCATTTGAGGGCAACAAAAGCCGTTCAAAAAGTGAAATAACTACTCCTCCGTAAGACACAGAGACTAGATAATGGAGAGAAGGGGGTAAAAGACCTGCAATCTCTACCTTTTTCTGCCAAAACTATACTGTCTAGCATTTAAGCTCTCTGTGAACAAACCTCTACTAAGAGCTGTCAAATTTGGGGCTTGTTTTCACTATAATAGAGGTCTTCAAACTTGGGAACTTTAAGACTTATGGAGTTGAAGTCCACAAGTCTTAAAGTTGCCAAATTTGGGGTCCCCTGCACTATAACATGAAGAAATGCAAATACAGAAAGAACCAATATGAATTATTGTCCCAAAATCAGAATGAACCAAGACCAAGGGTATTTTTTTAAAAAAACAGCTATTCTTCTTCTCATGGGGTGCCATTATGACAAAAAAAGGCCAAAGGAAAAAAAAACAATTTGATCCCTCTGAAAACTATGACTGGGATGAAAACAGGTTTTCGGTCCCCAGATTCCCAAAGAATTTCTGGTGTCTGAGTTTCTTCCAGTTTTTATGTGCAACACAAGTAACAATTCAAGATATTTTAGGCTATTTAAAAATGTTCCCTAGTTATGGATGAATGCACAATACCAGGTGTTTACCTTCCCACTCATTTAACACACTACACTGGGAATTGTTTCCTTGTTCGAATGTGGCAATAGAAGACCGGAGAGATTTTGACTTCCTTATGTTGAAGCCAACCTCAAAACTGAATCGTGAAAACAAAAATACCTTGAGTATTTTGGAAGTATTCCAAGTCTATATAAGTATGAAACATCTTTACTCTGAACTTTTTTTCATAATTTGAAGTTTTTCCAAGAGCTCCTTCCTTCCCATATAAATTGTGTGAAATCAGGCTTAATAGCAGTAATTGTGAGAGGGATCTTTGAGTCTTCGTGGACAACCAGCTACACATGAGCCAGCAGTGTGCAGCGGCAGCCNGTGCCATCAAAGCAACTTGTACAAAAGACAGAATTTTATCCATTTTCATATTAATACCACTTTATAATGCCTTGGTAAGGCCACACTTGGAATACTGCATTGAGTTTTGGTTGACACGATGTAAAAAAGATGTGGAGACTGTAGAAAGAGTGCAGAGAAGAGCAACAAAGAGAATTAGGGGGCTGGAGGCTAAAACATATGAAGAACAGTTACAGGAACTGGGTATGTCTAATTTAATGAAAAGAAGGACTCGGGGGAGACATGATAGCAGTGTTCCAATATCTCAGGGGCTGCCATGAAATGAAATGAACTGTTTGCAATCATTCTTAATTAATCAAGGAACAATTAACGCACCTGAATACTCAATAACTTCCTCCGGTGACTTTCCTTCCACCTCACGGGCAATATCATCAATGTCGTCACGGCCATATTTTTCATTAGCTTTAATAAACTGATTGAAGTCTCTTTTGTTCCAGTTTGTAAAACCCTGTTAAAAGAAGTTGTTTTTGTCAGAGCTCGCATCTTAGGAGGATGCAGTTGGATTTGCTCATTAATGCCTTGGTACAATGTCACATAATAATTACAGGGGTTAATGATCTTCAGTATTTCCATAAACTTCTATTATCCGGGGTTTATTACTCAAGTCATAAAAAGCAGAGTTATTTTTAAACACAGCTCCTCGCATGTAAGGGAGAGAAGTTGTTCTATTCATGCTTGTAAATGGCAAGTCTCCAAAGAAACAAAGTTCAGTCCAAATCTTAGCGGGCTTTCACTTGTATCACACCTGAACAATTACAAGTAACTAACCCCAAAAATAAAAAAAACACCTTTAAGAATGTGAGGGCCCTTGTCCAGATGTCACAGGCAATCTTCTGGAACTAAATGCAGGAACATTCTGTTTCAAACACTTACAAAGCAAATGGTGAATGAAATTAACACCTGGAAGGGAAGAAAATCCCCAGTTCCCATGCATACTTTTGATAAAATATGGAGGGGGGGCATGAAAAAAAATCTATTGACTATGGAAGGAATATAAACAAAGAATTGGCACTCAAAACAGTTCCTTAAACATCATTAAACTTTTTAAATAATTAAATCAGGACCCTTTAAAGGTTGGCAGTAACCAAAGTTAATTACTGGAGAGACAAATGTCAAATATTTTATACAGTGTGCCACTAATAATCAGTGTTTGACCAATTGCAGAATTACTGTAAAATGCTAGATATGACATTTATTTCTGAGATCAGATCTACTGAAAATTGGCCAGCGTACACAATAAAACATTTCCTTCACCCAGAAAGAACCACTCTATGATGGAAGAACTTCTGCTCTTAAGACAGAAAAAATATCCGTCCAACCCTTTGTCTAAAACAACAAACCAGCAACAAGAAATGAGGTACTTTTTGAAGCATGGATCAACTTCAGCATGACTCCTATTAGCTACAGGCAGTTCTCGACTTAACAACAGTTCATTTAGTGGTTGTTTCAAAGTTAAAGGTAAAGGTTCCCCTCGCACGTCTGTGCTAGCACCGTTCTACAGGGCGGTGCTCGTCTCCCGTTTCAAAGCCGAAGAGCCAGCGCTGTCCAAAGACATCTCCATGGTTATATGGTCGGCATGACAAAACGCTGTAGGCACCCAGAACGCTGTGACCTTCCCACCAAAGGTGGTTTCTATTTTTCTACTTGCATTTTTACACGCTTTCGAACTGCTAGGTTGGCAGAAGCTGGGACAAGTAACGGGAACTCACTAAGTTACACGGCACTAGGGATTTGAACCACGGAACTGCTGGCCTTTCTGATCGACAAGCTCAGTGTCTTAGCCACTGAGCCACAGCGTCCCAA